GATCATTTCTTGGAATCTCCAAGCTAATTATAATTTTCTTTTTATTTCTTTCGTGTTTCGCTCATTTTGCTTCAATGATTCTTTTTATTCTGAAATTGGAGAAAAAAATCGTTATCCCAAAATTAGGCCAACTAGATAAATACAATTATAAAATAAATTAATTGGCCAATAAAATAATTAAAAAGAATCATTAAAATGTTCATTTTTTTCAATCTAATATCAAATATTCATCTAGTTGTCGTTTTATAAAGTGCAATTTCAATTTTCTCTCGAATTTATTGAAGCGCATTAGATCGTTTCCAAATAAGGATAAAATCACGCACTTTTAAATATTTGTTCACTATTCAATTTAGATCAACTCACATTTTTTTCTCGAACAAAAAATGTCGTTTCCTTCAAAAATGTTCTTCTATTATATAAAAGACAGAAGTTTCTTCCTAGTAAGAATCCTACAATCAGAATGCACTTTTAATACATATTTCATCGGTTTTTTTTCTCGCAAAGTTGAAATGCGTGGGCCGAATTTGAATTGATCTCATAAAACGTTGGTTCGTTTTTTCGTGATTTTCAAATGTGCGAATCCATTCATTTCATCTATTTTTCAAAAGTCGACTTCTTCACTTAAAGTGAGAGCAAGAGAGCAGAATTATTTCAGTTAAAAAGTTCTTTAATCACCTACCATTTTCGAATTAATTCGCTTCATCAATTATTCAATTCCGCGTTACATTTTTTCGCATATAAACTATGTTGCCTTGGTTACAGTCTTGTCCTTTTTGAATATCAAAATTTCAATTTCTTTTAGTGCTCCACAGATAAATTTCAACGTTCGTTATCTACACATCTCTAGCAGAAAAATCTGTCAGGTACGATCAATTGCATACTTTTCTTTTTCAAAAAAAAATCCAACATAAGCGATATAAGGCGAAAGAAGGAATATTCTAATGATGAATGGTATTACAATTTTATTAAAAAGGAAGAAGTTCCTTTAATACAGAAGGCACACATGTTCGCGTCATTAAGAAAAGGGAACAAAGTACAAGCATAATATTATAATATTCGTAAAGATTCCTCAAAGCTTCTCATTTCTAGATTTTGCTATTTTTGAGCATCATTTCACATTCTAATTCTAGTAACACGGAAATGTTAAGATTTTAAAGTTCAAATCAAATCGAAGACGCTTAAAATTATAAACTAATTTTCGGAAATTTTCCAATATTGTTTTTTTTTTTCGTTTTGAGGATTATATCCCTGGTGATTTAAAAACCAAATTACGACAAAGCTTGCCAAATTCGAAATCAATGAAATGAATTTGCAAAGTTGAAAAATATCAATAATAATAATGAATGTTGAGTAGTCTCACATGATTCAGATAGCGAATAAAGATTACGTCACCATTCAGCTCGATTGTTGTTCTTCTTTTCCTACTGAAAATAGTTTGAGAATTTCAAAGTGAAATCGATAAAGCCGTCCAATTTGGGGAAATTGTTTCATCATTCGCTCGATGTAACCTGCATTTCATATTTCTTTTGTCATCAATCAACTGATTGTCAACATATATTCAAGTGATTCATTTCCTTCTGCCGAAGACTTTTTTGATTTCAGCAAACACTTTCAAGAAATTATCGAGTCCAATCAAATATTTTTATTTTGTTTGTTTTCCTATTGTTTCGGCACCATTTTTTCTAATGAGAGAAGAGAGCATTAATCATTTTTTTTCACATCAGTTTTCCAAAAAATTTAATTGAATCTTCAAATCGAGCAAATAAATGTAATTAAATCGTGGTCCCGTGAGTATTTCGAATTGATTTTTAACATTTATTTTAGGTATCTAATATGGGTTAATAGTGTTTTGAAAAAAAATGGAAATATTTACTGACTTCGAGCTAAAAAAATTCCAAACTTTCATAATAACACGAATTTTAAAAGAAATTGTATTTTGAGGATTTTCCTGTTTTTGAAGACTCTTTATAAATCAAAAATTAATTTCCAGCAATTTTTTAAAACCATATCCAATATTTACCAATTTTGAGAGATTTGCTTATTACACATTGTTTGCCAATTATTACAGTTGCAAAAAAAAAACGGGAAATTTGCGGACCATAGAAATGAAAGTAGAAGTGGTGCTTGTTTTATTTGGTAGTAGAATTCCAATAGAAGAACAATGTATTGTCGTGGACGGACAAATTTGAGAAATTTGAATTGCGCGGGCTTCTACTTAATTGGTCCCGCAAAAAACAAAATCGACTCCACCATTCGACACTTGTGCTAATAACCAAAGTATTTAAAATTTATACCAATTAGGCCTTTCATATTATGATAGTTAGAAAGCGTAAAAATCGCTCTTTAAATTTTTTTTCCATACGAGACCCAGGGCGGCAATTCAAACAATAAAGCAATTGCACCCCAAGATTGTCCGTCGTCGGCAATAAAAATATTTGTATTCAATAATTTCGTTTTAATTGTGTTTTTTCTCGTTTTGCAAGTTGCGTCATTCGCTCACTATTCTTCTTCGCCACCATCGCTTTCGGTGCATCTGATAACAGCAACGAATAGCTCATATTATCAAAGAAATTCACTACTTTTTTTGCAACTCGCCCCTAGTTTTTTTTCGTATAGTTGGCTCTTTTATAATCTCAAGAAACACGAGCAATCTGTGTAGTTTTACGATGAGTTTGATTCGCAGGTTACCCGTAGTACGGTACCTCAATTCCCACAATTTAATGCGGAATTTCCGCCCGAAATAATTTGATTGTTTACAAATTCTCAGAGTTTTTTTTTTGCGATGGTAATATATTGGCACATTTTGACATTGAGAAGGGTCCTTTCGCACTTTTTGTCATGCTCTGTCTATGCTGAAACGGTGTGTGTCCCATTGTGTTCTTGCAAGAGACTACTGTAACCTGAAGGCAGTTGGGTCGATCACACTTTGATGTGGTCCGAATGTAAATCGAACACACTGCGTCCACTGTCTCCTCACATTCATATTTGAGGTCGGCAGCTGTTGCGCATGTCCGTTTCATCGTCGCAACTCAATTTCCGCATGCATTTTAATACTTTTTTCTAAATTATAACTTTCTGACTTATTTTTTATGAAACAGACTTCATTACGTTGAAAATTTGAACATTTTGATAAAATTAAAAGTACACCGTTTCACATTTATAAAGCAACCCCCTGTTTTTGGGTGCACTTTGTCAATTGTGAAAATGTTTGAATTCTGATATCAAAATTGAATTCGTGGCAAAAAAATACATATGCATAGCAATTCTCATAAATAAATCCTTCGGCTTCGGTTCGACCATCCAGCGATTTTTAAGGAATAGATGGTAGATTTTTCGACATCGTTGAGTAAAGATCCTCGAGGCATATTCAAATTTATTTAGAAATTAGCGTAAAATAAATGAAAACATCTTACAGTACTCTATTTAAAGGTACACTGCTAATTCTCCTTCAGGTCTTCACAATTTCAAACATTTCACAGGGATGTAACCAATTTTCGAAATCATTTGCCCAAATTTTCAGATATCATTATGAAAATTGGTACACATATTTATTTTTCAGCCACGAATTCAATTTTGATATCAGAATTCAAAAATTGTCATAATTGAAAAAGTTACACCCAAAAACGAGTGTGGCTTTATATATATCTGAAACGCGCTGTATTTGAAATGACGAGAAAAAAATTGAACAACGCTTCCTCCGAGTTAAAAAGAAATCCATTTTGACAACCCTCCGTCATTCTTATTATTTTATGAGCTGGCTGAGTATAAAAAAAAGAAAATTACAGTATGCATCAAAAATTTGTTCTTTTTGCGCCAAGAATTGAAACGCAATTTTACCGAAATTAATGTTAAAATTTACGACACGACAAAAGATTGTCTCCGACAAAAACAATAAAAATTTTTTTTGGAGCGAAAATAGCAAAAATGTTGCATGCGCCTTTAATTTTAGAAATTTGCTATATGATACTCAAAACCTAATTCATTGCGAGACCAAATTGCTTCGATCAAATTTTTTCGAGTCTCCAGCGGAAGTCGTCTGTCTTCAACAATACCTGCATAATGTTGATTGCAAATCAAAATTCTGACTGATCACAAAAATTCTGTATTTTAGTCAGCACATGAAGTATTTTTTTTTTCAAATTGAAATTCGCATATTTTGATTTGAATTGAATGGTTTGATTTTTAGTTTGAAATAACGGTTTCAGAAAATCGAAAATTTCCCACCAAAAATAGATAATCGCGATGATAATGTGAATGTTATTGCAAAGATTTCTCAGTGTCTGTGTGTCATCACATTGTCATCAAATGCCCATTGAAATTTGAGTGCCTCGTACATATTAGGCATGGGTGACGAGCACGTGTGATGCGCCCTCTACACCACCACCACCACCCGCACCACTACCGTATTCCGCCAAAATAGTGCGCGTAGTGTGGGTATGCTGTTAGGCCACGCCCATTGGTGTCGCGCACAGTATTGCGACCGATATTCCATTCGACATTTATGTATTTGTCGCTCGCTCTGCCGGTTGCTTTCTTCGTCTCGCCGGTCCTTTTTTTCTTCTTCACATACATTCATATTTTTATTTATTGCGTATTTTCACTTCTCCCCCAAATTCTTCCTTGCTGTTCGCTTGTCTCCGAAATTGGTGTAAAATGACATTCTAATGACTGTCAGCCATCTGAACTAGCGAACATTTTTGACGCTTTTACGCAATTATGAATTTTTTGGATTTTTTATCCCACTCGAGTTCTTCTAAGAATTAAAGATGGATCTATAATTTTTCGAAAAAGACTAAAATCGAACAATTTCGTTTTCAAATATAATATACATAAATAATAGCAATAATTGCTAAATTATTTCATTTTCCTTCAATATCTTACTGATATATTTTCAAACAATTTTATTCTACATTTCACCTTATTTTTTGCACAATAAACCAATTAGCGACTAATTAAGATAATTGCTTCGAAATTTCCAGAATCGACACTTTTGTGATTCGATGTCGACTGAAAACGGTGTTCTGCTTCCAGTATCTTCAAACTCGCCGACAGAAGACAAAAAAATGCCCGAGGAGACGACAGAGACGGTATTAATGCCAACATTATTTCATTGAACAGACGTTGAATGCGTTCAGAAGCCGCTAATTGTGGAAGTGAAGACGGAACCTATTAGTAGCGCAACACCATCGTTGTGCGGAGAAGCTCAAGCTCAGCCGAGTCCGTCGACATCGGGCGACGAAAACAAGGCGGCGCCGGCGACGCGGCAGAAGAGGAAATACAACAAGCGAAAACTGGCGCCGGAGGAGTGCTCGAGAAAAAGTGTCCGAATCAATAAGAATGCGGCCGCCGATGCTGAGATTATCAACAATTATACGGGAATCAAAGATATTCGAAGATGTAATTTCGAGTCTTTTTTTTGTTCGATTCAATTATTTTGTTTTCCTATTTTTAGCTCGAAATGTGCAGTTCCCAAAAGGGCTCAAAAGAATCCCATTCGTGACACCGGAAAAACCATTGAAGGAGAATGGACGCCTCCGAATCGATATGAACTGCACTAGATCGACGACTCGCGAGCTCTACGTCATCGAGAGCCCCCCAAAAAAGAAGAGGAAGAACGCGAAAAACGACGAATCGGCAACAAATTCGAACAATGTTCCGATCGGCGTCGATCATCAGGCAGCGCTTCCGGAGCTCATGGAAGCACGAGCCAGTGCCGTCGATGAGGATGATCGCGATGAGCCGATTTGGATACCGGAATGCAGCGAGATTGCAATGGACGAATTTCGGGAAACATACGAGCTCGTCCAGCCACAATATGGTTCTGTGATTCCATTGGACTCGGTAATGGGAGATTCCGAGAGATTGCTTGAAATTAATTCGATTGGATTTTCAGTTTTTGCACAGATTCATGGAATGTGGATACAGCGTTGAGAAAATGCTCGAGACGCTCGAAAGCGAACGCGATAATCTGCCGCAGCCGTTCAAACCATTTACGGTGGCCCAACAAATCGAATTCGAGAAGCACATTCGTCGCACATCGGGACCAATCAAATCGAAATCTTTTAAATACATGCAAGACAGATTCGTAAGTTGCATTTCTGCGATGCTATAACTCAAAAGTATTTCGGTTCAGTTGCGATCGTACCATCTCGGCGAAATTATAAATTATTATTACCTCACAAAGCGCCATCATTGTCCGGACAAGATAATTGGAAGATGCAGTTGTCACGAATTGATGCGAAAAAAGCCGGAGAATCTTGTGAGCCGATTGGAGTGCTCGAATTGCACCAAAGACATGCGAGCGAACGCGGAGAAATCGGATAAATTGTGTCTGGTTTGCGATTTGTACTTCACGTGAGTCGCCATTGTCAATTCAAAAAATGCATTATCTTTTTTTTTTTAGAAGAACTGGCAAACAAAGAACATCTCCTGGACGATTCACTGATGAAGAGGAAGAATTCTTGAAGTACTGGAATGAGATGGAGCTGCAGAATGGAAAGGAGATGACGATTGGCGAAGTCGAACAGAAAATGGAGGACGAACGAATTACGGAGCTCGAAACTCGACCGCTGACTCAAGAAGAGATCACTTCGTTGGGAACGAGCAAGAAAAGAGATCGGAGGACAGTGGCTGTCATGTTGGCTCCGTTCAAGCCGAAACAATCGGAGACGTAATCGATTCTTTTTTTTTTTGAAATGGCATAGCCTCTATTGTTATTTTTTATTTCAGATGCCCCCGAAAACCAGTAGAAGACTACCGTGCAATTCACACAAAAGAATTCACACCAGAAGAGACGGCGAAATTGGTCCGCTCATTCTTCAAGAACTCGAACGACATTTCCAAAGTGTGCGAGGATCTGAACATCTCGCCGTTGGAGGCGAGAGTGTTCTATCGACGATACGAGGTCGAGCTGAACGCAATGCCGGTGAGAATTCACGATTGAATCAATTTTATTTCGTTGATAACAGGAGAACAACAATAATAAAAAGAAGAAGAAGGGCTCGAAGGCGTCGCCGACGCAATCGGCTGGTCCGTCGCCAAAGGATGAAAACGGCGGAGTGGCAACGAGAAAAAGGAAGTCGTCGATGTTCCACGAGGTTCCGGCGGCGGCCGCAAAAAGGAGGGCAAAACCCATCTGATTTCGTTTCATTTTTTGGTTTCATATAATTATTTTGGCGGGTGTTTTTCGCGAATATCAGTGTATGCCTTTTCTTGTCTTCCATTTTAATTGGTATACAATATGCAGTGAACCGAAATTTTTTTCCTTTTCGAATTTCAAACTCACATTCTAATTTCTTTGGTAAATTCTATAAGGGAAATCAATTTTTTTCTAAATTATTTATTTATTTATTTTTTTGCTATTTGGGAATATTGGTGCCCTGAATTGTGATATAAATTGTATAGTTCTGGTTTAGTTCCAACTCATTCAATCTTTTTATTTTGATTGTTTTCTATTTTGTATTTAATTCAATCGAACGTTTCATTTGCTTCGTTTTGCAAATTCTAGTGTAAAATTCAAAGAATTATGATAAGCTGTGATATAGTTTGCTCCGAATTCATTTTCCAATAATATTCAGCATTCCGCAATAGCTGGACAGACCACTGAAATTAGTTGCTCTTTCTCTTTTTTTCGCTTTCGATATTATATTTTGAAAATAAATGCTGTAAATAAAGAACTGACGTGATTCCCGCAGCACTTGAGCATTTACAAAACTGCTCCATCTCTTTTTTCCATTGCACAGCTCTCGAGCACTGTCGGATGGCCGCTTTCGCGTTTTTGTCCTCAATTTGCGGTTCACATCTCAAAAATGATGAGGGGTCTTATCCGATTTCATTGATTGAAAACTAACCCAATTCGGTTGAAGCAGAATCCATCCTTGTTCTTCTCGATAAAACAGTTTTTGACGCATAGCGCAATCGCTTTTCCGGCATTCACAACTTGCTAAAACTAGGCGAATCGAAATACATATTTGGAAGGCAATAATAGTCGGCGTCCGGCGACTAATGTATGGCGGGGTAGATTTACGGGGGACGTCGTGGTCTCGCCACGCCTCAATGCTTAATTTGTTATTTGAGCTGTTCATTTTTTCTCGCTCAATTTGGAACTTCAAGGTGTTTTAAATTTAAAAATAATTGAAAGCATCCATTTAATGCGAAGCAACAAATTTGTCGGCGCGAGACCACATCGCCCGTAAATCTACACCCGTACATCAACGGTCGGACGCCAACTATAAAACCTTAACGTTTTCATTTCCAATCGATTTCATGAACGAATTGATTTGAGCATTGACGGCATCTTCCACTCGTTTTATCATGTCATTGTAGTCGTATTCCCTGACTTGCTTGTTCATTTGGGATTCATCTTCAGCACATCTGAATTCAGAATACTTAGACTTTTGCCAACTTCTTATCCGATTTACGCTTTAACTTTCTTTTGAAAACAATCGATCACATTGTCGACGAACGGTTTCTTCGCATCAAAACAGGCTTTCAGAGAGGTCGGATTGTCCGTGATTTTGTACTGTAAATCAATCAGTCGATGTTTACTCGGTTACACTTTTGTGTACACTCCGTATGATGCGATTTTTGCTATCGGATACTGATATTAGACGGCCGATTAGTTATAATATAATACGAGAAGAATGGGACATTAGCTGGCGCCAATCGGACTCCAAACCGTGAAACCTCAATCAATTTTTATTGACCGTAGAAGGTCATTAATACATGCATATCATTCGAGTTTCATGGTCGAGCATTTTGGAAGAAAACAGAGGGATAGAATATCATTGAATTCATCATTAGTTTTCAGAATTATTTTTCACTTTCAAACCAAATTAAAAATTGGTCACATTTTTTCATTCGACATCAATTTTAGATCAGATCACAAAAAAAATTTAAATCAAAGAAAAAATGTTTCAAATTTAATTTTTCATATAGTGTTGGCGTCTGGCGACTGCTGAAAACTAGTAGATTTAGAACCTTCGCCATTCTCTAAGGATCCCTACCAGACTAACTGTCGTTCTCTAGTGTTCATGTCAATTAAAAACAGTGGTACTGATTTATTTGAGATCAGTAGTATAATTAAAAAATTGTAAATGCCAAAAATACGCTGGCCCAAAAAGGAAATCCAAAAATTCCAATCTACTGGTCATCACGGGCATGCCTGAATCGACAATTCATGCGAGATTTCGTCTCGCAAATTCGGTGCTCGAAAAATACAGTGTCGTTAGAAATTCAAAAAATAAAGAATGATTCGGAGAGACGCGTGCCCCGTAAATCTACACCAGTGAAAAAATTGCCGTACACAATGAAAAAGAATCGAATGTGCTGAATACCTACATGTTGGATTTCCTGTTTCCAGCAGGTCTCGAAGCAGTCGAGCGCCTGCGCTTTCGAAGAAGCGTAGCAGTCCTTCATTTCATTGCACGTGCATTGTCTCACGATTCCGTCTCGTTGTGAGCCGTGGAGAACTTGAATTGCTTGTTTCGAAACCTTCAACAGACTTTGCATTATTGAATTTGAAAAAAAAAATGAGAAAAATTCGGTGTAGACCTGATCAAGAAATTTAGCCGTTTGCGATAATGGAATAAACGCCAACAAAAGCGAATAAAGTAGCATTGGAACGATTATTTGAGCGTCGGAAATTCGAAAAGTAAAACTGCGACGGAATGAGCGACCCGGCGAAGAAAAACGGGTTTTCATTATTGTTTTTGGCAACTTTAATTTATTATTTACTTTTGGTCTATTTCGAAAACAACTTTCAATTAAACGCTAATTGGCAACTATTTTAAAATGAAATTTTGAAGCAATTACGATTGATAGCGCTTTTTCTCACTATTTTTCAAGATTTTACAAAGTTTTTATTGTTCTAGACTTTTTCTTTGTTGAAACGATCATATGCTCAATTCAAATTGAACTCAAAAATTTTGAATGAGTTCTGAGTTAAAAGCTTCAGCAGATTACTTTTCCTTCAGTCTCACGCAATATTTAATATTGTTTCGCAATTCAGTGGACCATTTCAATTTTCTTGTTAAATTCTCGCAAAACCGTACCGACAGAAGCGTGGTAAATTCCCAAAAATCCGACTAATCAATGAATTACCCGATTTTTCTTTTTCGATTTAGATCAACATTATTTCTGACATTCAGTTTGTTTGGTTTTCATCGCAAGACATTATAAATCAAAATTTGAAATAAAATATTATTCTCAATTAATTACCACAATATCTTCAATTTATTTGGAAAAAGTTGAATTCATGGATTTCAATTTTAACTGGAAGAATCTGGCAGTTTTGAAATTAATATTATTTTGTAAAAATGCTCGATTGCAAATCAAATTTGAAGTTGTTTTTCCTCTCAAAACCCCCTCATTTGTATTTCAATTAAACAATGAAATCATTTCTCACAGATAAGGAAACCTGCGGAATGATATTCAGCAAATTGGCGACTTCCTTCTGAAATTCCCTAAATAGGAGAATTTGGTGAATTGCCGGCCATCCACCCCCGCCTGATGATCAACGAGCATTCAGTTCGACAAAGGACCATTGAACAAAGACAATACTGGCATTTCGGGTTCTCTCATTAATGTTTGCGTAATCGAATTTGTTCCGAATTGAGTGGTTCGCTTCTTCTCGCAAGATTTGTGGTCACCGATTGGATGGCCAACTCCAATGAAGTTCAACACCAGCTCGACATCATTATATTTTACAAATTCGGCAAAATTTTAATGGAAATTTGCGATCTCAAATTATATCCCCTGGAATCGAGAATATTTATTGTTTATGCTTGCATATGTTGATTCAAATATTGGTTATAATGATGTTTTTCCTGAATTAGACACGATTTGCGCAAATCTCGCATCAAATTCGTTTAGGTAATTCGTTTCAGCTGCAATTTGACGCAATTCGACCTACCGTACTCAAGGAACTCATAAGAAATTGCATTCAATTGCCTGCCAATAACATGTCTATCCGTCTTCTTCGCTATATATCCCTTTCTTCTCTGCTTCTTCTCATACGGGTTGACCCGAACTTCCGTTCTTTCTTTCTGCTGTGGCCCCTCGCGTTCCTCGATGACGCACATAATGATGTGGGCAGAAGAATTTGGACATCACGCATACATTCGAATATGTATTCTCATACGAACACTACAATAAAAAACAACAACAATAATAAACAAAACGAGCAATTTTTGAAGAATTGATAACCCAATTTTGAGTGAATTTGATATAAATGGTTTCTAACTTTGAAAAAAACTGAAAATGAATATGCACCTATTTAAGAAATCAAAAATCATTTTTTTAAAGAAAAATTTAAAAAATGACATTAAATTTGCATTTTTACAACCCTCCATTGAAAAAGTGTAATTAAAAAAAATATGTCTTATTGCATGAATAGGTCGAATGAATTAAAAATTGTATCAAATGCGAGAAAATGGCAAATTCGACAAAAACGAATATAAATTGAAGGTGAAAGTAATGAAATAACAACACTTTTTCTGGGGGCACTACGCCCGCGGGTACTATGCAAATATCATGACGGGACCATCCACATCTGGCCCCTTTCGGGCGACCTTCGTGAGACTCGGCCAATTCGATATTTTTACGCCAACTATTCGATGATTATGATAAATTAAATAAAAATATCATTTCACCCGTTGAGTTTATTCCATTTACATAATTATTCCGCCGATGTTCGATCGAAGCTGAACTCGTTTTATTTGAAAATGAAAATTATTCTTTGAGTAGACACCGATTGTTTTTATATCGCCCATTCGAAAAAAAAATGTTATAATTTGAAATTACAAATAATAACAACTCATTTTTTCAGAACGACTCTTCCAGACGAGACCGCAATATGAAAAACGGCGAGTCGTTAAATGCAATCGCCTATTGTCGCCTCACAGATCATCGTCAGCATTGAAATAACGAGGTTCGTCGTTGGCAATTTTATGGTTTCGATTCAGGGAGTGCTCTAGACGGCGTTCATTTTGCCAACCTTGTACCATTGAAGAAACCTAGTCGACCTCAATAATAATCAATGAACAAAAGAAGGTCATTTATCTCTGAAGAATGTATAATTTTCAACTCAAAATCAATAATTTTTCTCATAATTTTTGTGCTCAAATCGTCACTTTCGATCATTTTTTTGGATTCGATAACGATTCAAATGTTATCGGTGTCTTAAACATAGTTTTGCTCTCATTTTTTTCTGTTTCTTTTCCTTAAAATTTGTGCTATGATTCCTATAAATCGACCTCATCTCATCACGTTTCTACGAGAGATTGTCCAAAAATGAATTACATATTTTTAAAATCGCGCTGCAAAACGAATAAATTTGAAGAATATTTGTGTTCAGGATTCACCTTCTTTTTTTTTTCATTTATCGTGTGACTCAGGCTGCAAATGAACAGTCATCAGTTGATTTCAATTCGAAATTAGTCTTTCCTCATTTGTCTTTCAAAATCGAACAATTTCAATAATTTCGTGTACGTCATGAGACTTGACGCATTTGTGAGCATAGCTTTTTTTTATTTGGTCTCGAAGCGACAATTCAATTCTTTCTCGTTTTTGACGTTTGTTTCTAGTTCAAAATACGGAGATTATTTTGAAATGAGCATCGTGCAAATATTTAAAGGAGCATGTATTTCAAATCAAAAAAATGCGATGAGCCGCTGATCGTTTTCCGTCTTCATCATTAGTGCTCGATATTGCATTTTAACCGAAAAATTATTCGCATTCAATATCGATTTTTGATTAATTTATTGATGAATAATTTCCACAATTTTTTTGGCGTCATTCAGATCAAAAGTATGTTATCAATTCGAAACCAAAATTAGATGCAATAATCAACGTTTTGTTGTTATCACATGCATCATCATCCGATTTTCGTGGCGTTGAAAGAATGCTTTCCGATGTTGAAAAATCGACACACTGAGTCGCCCACTCGCCTCGAGAACCCATTAAGCAGCAGGTGATTTGGGCGACAAAAAATCTAGTTGAATTAATTTTCAACGTGCTGCCAATTCGGACGTTGCTCGCCAACTTCGAATGACGGCTTTATAGAGAGATTCCTCTTCATTATTTTCATTATTATGAATCATTTTTGTTTTTAATTTATTCGAAATGCACATTGATAGGCTGTTCATCATCAATACAATATTCGTATTCCAATTTTGTATTCTAAAATCTAAATTTCTCTCCATCGGCTTCACAGTGTTTTCTATTTTTAAATTATAGCGATTTCGTTCGACCAAATGTTTGTTATTTCTTTTCCGACCATTTTTTGACACAAATGTCGATAGTATTATTATTTTTGAATTCTGGGGTGATTCGATCACAAGAAAAATCATTTAAAAATTCGAAAAAGAAAAAACAAATCGACGGCAGATTTTAAGGTTTGATGATACCGTGCGAAATGACCCACGCACAAATGCAGAAAAATTGCGATATTTGTGATATTTGATTTAAAATTCAAATATCCCCCGAAAGTTCCCGAAGATAAAAAGTTGAAACCAGAATTGACCGCTGAGAGAGTCAGCGGAATATGTATTACCGTATCCAAAAAAATTTCGAAATTCGAAAATTTCTTCAATATTCGTTAAAACCAAAATTAAAATTAATTAATTAAAGGCTCATAACGCGGAAAATAAATGAGATATTTTTGGAAACTGACTATATTGTAGCGCAAGCCTCTAGATTTGTGTGTCTGTATTTTGCGCAGACCGTATCAAATCCCAGAATCAGTAGACGACTTGTTTCGTTTTTTTTTCTGAATCAGATAACACGTTGCCCTCGTTTATTCTTCTACAGACTGCTACGAACAAACATCTGATTACATTCAGAGTCCAATACACAACAATTAGACCAAAGAAATATTGGTCGATGTCTAGCAATTTTTTGTCAGATCTGTTCGACCTTCGTATTCGATAGATGCTTAGACAAAATCTGCATAATAACGGAACAAAAAGAGAGAAATTAAATAAATAAAACTTCGAAAAAAACATAACAAATAATTATACAGCATAGAAAGATTAAAGCAATATTTTTTAGCAATAAATCACTTCCCATGAAATTGGCTAATACGCAAGAGTATAGAAAAGGTGTAGTATTACAATTATATTCCGTTTTTTTTGGAGGTGTGAGAATGATTTGAAAAGGAATTTAAAGGAATGAAAGGGTTCCAATGTTTCGTCGCGCCATTTTCTCCAACCAACTCTCTTTGAAAATTTGTTTCTATTCAAGTCAACTCAAAAAAATGGGTTTCTTTTTGAAACGCGCATTTTTAGGATCAAATGTCTCGTCTTGAATGACGGCGAAACCCAACTGCATACACAAGTGATTCTAGATAGTTGTTCTTCCCCACAGTTTTCACTCCTCATCACCCCAACTTGATCTGTCTGTCTGAGATTTCATTTCCCATCACCGAAACGGTCATAAACCACAGAAATCAAAAACGAACAACTAGATTGAGTATGTGAGTTGAGAGGCCAAGCAATTAATTCATTATGGAATCTAGTTTGAACTTAAGTTCATATTCATCAAGTCTTGACCTAAATCGATTTCATGAAAAAAAATGTGTAGAAGAATTTGATTATTTTCAACGTGATCATTCGGCAAAT